GCATTTAGGGGGAGAGAGAGTGCGTAGCCTTTTTTTTTTTTTAGGGTAATATATATTTTATTATAATAATAATAATAATAAAAATATTATTATTATTATTATTATTATCTCTCCGTCTCCTTTTTTTTTGACGAACACTTCATCGTAGCGAAATGAAATTCTCCCCTAGGTAAATTCGACGTTCCGGACGCGACCGCACTGTCCGTTTCATCGTTCGGGATCGTTCAGACCACCTTTTTAGCTATTTGGGTCAAAACGATAATTTGCGCATTTTTACCTCGCCCGTGAAATTGTGGTGCAACGAACGCTCTTTTTAAGTGGAATCAACGTTCCGGACTCACTCGCGTGGTCCGTTTCGTTATTCGGGGTTGTTCGGACCACTTTTTTAGTAATCGAGTCCAAAATGATAATTTGCGCATTTTTAGCCCGCACACGAAGAGTTAACGACATGGACGTCTTCCTTAGGTAATATAGACGTCTCAGACACACATAACATAAAAAATTGATGCCAACAGTACCGCGGCCAGCCGTTTTAATGTTTAGGCTCAGTTGGAAAATCTTAGAGCCGCGACTAGCCATCTTCATATTTGGGCTAAGCTGGACGATCTTAGCGTCGTGGCTAGTCGTCTTCATATTTTGGCTCAAACGGGTTTTGGCTCAAACGGGCAATCAGACGATCTTGTCGATTTAATGTTTAGGCTCAATCGGGTTTGAGTGTCTTAACAATGTCAGAGTTGAGCGATATTGGGCTCGTTGGATTCCTCCTGCCAAGAGGCTATATTCGACCATAAATCTACCAGATTCAACATCTGTTTGACTTTCCAAATATGTCTGAAAAGCTCTCAAAAGCAGTTTAATGACTTGATCGGGGCTTGATTTAGTTCAAATTAGACCAAATTTGGTATCATCGGGTCTGTCTCATTGAACCAGTCAGTTGACTATAAGTATGTTGAAATCGAAGTTTTTGATGACTTCTACTTGAAGTTTGAATGTTTCTTGATAAAAAATTTGACTCGAGATTTGTGGTATAGCTCGAAATTTGCGTCATTTAATAAATTAATGAATATGATTATTTTGCAATATTGTAGATGTGATAATTTTGTCCATTAATTAATTATATAATGGCCGGCCCCCAAACAAAACCCCAAAAGAACTGTGCTGCCATATGGCGAATTTTACAGAATTTATCTACCTCTCTTCCTCTTTTATTTTTATAATTATTTATTTATATAAACCTTTTGACATGACATCTGCTGCATCTTCTTTCCATTGCTACTACAAGAGAAAGCAGAAATTGCCTCCCTCAGAACATGAGAATAATAAGGTATGACTTCTTTCATGACTTTCTCTGAGATCCACTAGAGAGAGAAACTTTCTAATCTGTTTTGTTAGCTTAATCATAGTAATTATTTAGCATGCTAATCAGTTTTAATCATGGTAACATAATCATATTATTCATGGATGATATTACCTTGTTCATTATTATTATTATTATTATTCACATAAAGGGTTTCTATGTAATATGATTTAATTAAAATACCTCAAAAGCATATTTGATGGATATTAAAGTAGTGTAAATTTCCATATACTCCTACAAAATACTCTCAACATTAACTATTAGAATAAAAGGGCTAATCACATGTGGTTGTGTGCACCCTTTGAACTTGAGTTTTAATGCTTTCACCTCATTAGAGCTATAGCATTACTTACAATTAAAAAAAGGGAATATTTACATACACATATACTACTCAATTCTTATATATTTATAGATTTAATACCTAAAGTTCAATTCTTTACATAAATGTCACTTACATAAATGTTTCCTTCACTTTGCATGAAAAGGTGTATTTCACTTTTTTTAAGTTAAAACAGTTGTATTTCTTATGTTAGATGTTAGATATATAAATACATAGAAATACATAGAAATTGAGTAATATGCATGTAAATTTCTCAAAAAAAAAAAAAAAAATTATTTTATCGATTGAATGTATTGTCTTGTTATCTTTCCTATTTACAAAAGTGGTCACATAAAAGCTTTTTTTTAATGCAATTGAAAGTACTTTTTATAAGAATGATGTCTATTTGTTTTTCTACCAAATATAGCATGCACATGCTTTGTGATTCATGATTAGGAAAAGAGCTTACTCAATTTTATGTTATAGAATTATAAAATTATCCACTTTGAATATTCCTAAGAAGTATATCATCTTTTTGTTTTAGTGATAATTCAAACTTCTATAAGCAAAATTTTCTCTTTCTATCCCATCTTTTCATTCGCATTCTCTCTCATCTCATTTTCTCCTCAAATCTTCACCAAAGGTCAATATTGCAATATACTTCCATGCCAAATAATATCCATGCATCAACTTTTATAGTGACTAATCAAATGCAGACTACCTAATTTATTTAAAACCAACTGTAATATTTTTGGACTTTCATACAAGAAACTTGAAACATACCTCACAGCATAATTTATAAATCTCCTAACATACTTTTGACCATTCACATAAGATATTTAAAATTGAACTCATCATATGTTTCATGCATTAAACTAATACCTATCAAACGATTACATTATGCAAAGTAGATAAAAAGTTGAATCAATTGATATCTTATTCTTACATCAGAATGCTTTCATAGGCATATAAATAATCTTTTTTATTTGTTACAATCCTCTTATCAATTTCAGTGAAAGGATAACAAAGAAAGGTTTACTCTACCCTATAATTGGTCTTGTAGTATGTATGACAGTCATCAACATATCCTTTGGAGGCTTTGGAACTCATGATAAGGAATCACAGAAGAGGTTTGTAAGAACAGAAGGAACTCAATTCATCATTAATGGAGAGCCATTCTACGTTAATGGTTGGAACTCATATTGGTTGTTAACTCAGTCCGTGGAGGAGAGAAACATGATTAGGATTACTGCAATGTTTGAATCTGCTATTGCTATGGGACTTACAGTTTGCAGGACTTGGGCTTTCAATGATGGAGCCTACAATGCTCTTCAAGTTTCTCCTGGAAGATTTGATGAAAGAGTTTTTAAGGTCTTCATTTGCTCTCTCTCCCTCTCTCTCTCTCTCTCTATCTATCTATCTTGTTATCATATACTTAATAAATGATAAAAGAGAGATTTACATGTATAACACTTAAAAGTATTATATTGATATATTGACATTCAAAACTTTCCATTTGCTAAACTATCACTTAATTCAACTTCTATTAAAATCCTTAAATGCCAATTTGTTGCTTCACTCGCTCCTACACAAAATATAAAAACCCTCGACGTTGAAGAAAATGTGAGAAAGTCAAGATAGTATTTTACATGGAGAGCATCAACAAAGCCAACATGTATTTAAGATCATGACAAAGTCTTGCTGCTAGAATAGTCATCAAAAGACATGAAAGTATGTGAAGGACAAACAATAGTGAAGATGTGAGAGAGTTGCAAGGTGAAGTGAGAAAGTCACTAAGTGATTTTGCCAAAGAAAGTGCATTGATGGGACCTGTGTGATGCAAAGGAAAGTTGACAAAGAGTGCGAGAAATCTGATATTTTTTATGTTACTTAAAGTGTTGAATGTTACATAAATAAATGATACTTGTTGTAAGGGGCGGAATCAACATCCTTCTTATAGGGGACAAATTTTTTTTACTTCCTCGTTATGATTCTCAAGGAAATGAAGCAGTTTAAAAAAAAAATTTCATTCAGATGATTCATTATGACAAAATACAATACACCTTACCTAGTCTGCCTTTGCTTGTGGGGAGAGAAGCGTAGAGATGCACAAAAACCGATTTGATAGATGAAGCAAAACTTTGAAGATCAGCGCACATAACAAGAAAAAAAAAACACAAGATTTAACATGAAAAAAACTAGAGGTAAACCCCTATAAAGAAACTAAGGAGAATTGTACAAATTACATCACACTCAAGCCTTTTCAAACATTGGAATAGTTGAAGAAGCGCTTCTCTTTTCTTCAGCGTAAGAGAAATCGAAATAGTATACCCTCAAATCAGCAAAACTAAAACTTTAATGAAAGAACGACTCAATTTTGGTTACTGATGTCAAGGTAAATTGATAGTCAACACTCTAACGGGCGTTGCGACACTGCATCAAGAACATTGCAGTGTCGTGCTCTCAAATCCAGAATCTCGACTGAGTGTTGCATCTATGCGCTACGACGCCTCCCTTCGAAAGCTAGAGTGTCGTGCTCTCGAATTATAACTTGTACTAGGTGTTTTGTGCTATCTTAGAAAAAAAATTGTTGCCCCAGTACCCCCAGCCAAACTCACCATCAAGCATGATAGACAAAACTGCTCTGTATGAACAATTGATCAACAAAACCAAACTTCACATAATGACAACACTTTTAATGTTAAATATCTAAATATGATTAGCTTCAAATGCTATATATGTAAATCCTCTACTATCAAAACAAATACACAACTATATATCATTGAAGCAAACACATTGATGAATTTGGCAGGGATTGGACAGAGTGATTGTAGAAGCACAAAGGCATGGAATCAAGCTGCTGCTAAGTCTGAGCAATGACTGGTCTGATTTTGGTGGCAAAATACAGTATGCAAAATGGGCCAAGGAGGCTGGACTCAACCCTAACACTAACTCAAACGACTCCTTCTTCTTTGATCCATACATTCGTGGCTATTTCAAAAACTATCTCAAGGTATGAATGTAAACATTAAATTTTTGTTTTTTGCATAAATATTTAAAATTATTAAATTTAATCACATATAATAGTTAAAAATATATGGAAATTTCGAATTCCCCGCACAGTTCTTATGTATTTACATATCTAACAGCTAAATTTTTTACATCGCATGAAAAACATCACTATTGTTAACTTTTTAGAAGTGAAATATATATTTTCATGCATAAATTTTTTATAATAAAATGATATAAATGTGAATATGAAACTTTTAGGTGTTAGATATGTAAATACATAACGAATTCGGTCATATCCATGCAAATTTCTATTTATAGTTTCCTTTCTTGTTGATTTGGAAGAGTGATTTTATCCATGCAATTATTTTAGGGGCATTTACATACATACCACCCAATTTCTACGCATTTACATATCTAACACCTAAACTTCTTTACATTTATACCACCAAAATCTTTCATATCACATAGAAAAAGTAAAACATGCATTCTCATGAATGGCATATATGTAAAAATCAAAGTTGATATGTTAAATAAGTAAATACATAAGAATCAAGTGGTACATATGTAAATCTTCCATATTATTTTATTTCAACAGTAAAATTCATATTCTGATTTATACATATATTGTTTTAATGAATAGACTATAATAACCAGAAGAAACCATTTAACTGGAATTGAATACAGAGATGATCCAACCATCTTTGCATGGGAGCTCATGAACGAACCTCGCTGCGAGTCCGATCCATCCGGACGCACTTTACAGGCATGAATTTACTCACAATTTCTTTGCATGTGATGTTTACATAAATAAATAAATAATTGTTTTCCTCTCTCGTTGCAAATTCAAATTTTCATTAATATGTTTAATTGTTTGAATCATGCAGCATTGGATCGAAGAGATGGCGAGTTATGTAAAAACTATAGATAAGAAGCATCTCCTAACGGTCGGCTTGGAGGGATTCTACGGCCCCTCCAGTCCTCACAAATTCAAATTCAATCCGACAGAGGATTCCAAAAATCTGGGATCTGATTTTATTCCGAATTCTGAAGTTGCAGACATAGATTTCACCTCTGTTCATATATATCCAGATATGTGGTAAGAAAAACAAACAATTACGCGAAACAATTTTGTTTTTTTGATCGAGTAAAGTGCGAAAATAGTCCCCGACTATTTACACGGGATCGTTTTAGAACTTTTTTTTTTCCATTCTAAGAGGATGCAAGTAAGGTCAATCTTCTGAAACTCACTTTCTGAAAAATGACAAATGAGTTCTAATTATGGTAAGTTCTGTTTTGTGTCCATGATACTGGTATATCACACAAAAAAATATAAAGAGGCATTTGCATGCATACCACCCAAATGCTATGTATTTATATATCAACACCTAAACTTGATTTTTTTTACATTTATACCGCCCAAATCTTTCATATCACTTCTAAAGTAACATTATTTTGACTTTTACAAACTAAAATACACTCCTTCATACAATATAACATGACATGTACGTAAAAATTGAAGTATACGTCTTAGATATGTAAACATATAAGAATTGACTGGTATGAATGTAAATCTTCCAATTATAAAACACACACTGAGCCAAACAAGCACAAGACTAATTTCAGCCAAATTTATCATAAAACTAAACTCAGTTCATGTTAATAAAACATGTAAAACAAAATAACGATAGATGTTGTTACTGAAAGAAGAGAATGCAATAATTTACAGGCTGCCTGCAAACAAAAGTTTGCCTGACAGTTCATGTTAATAAAACATGTAAAACAAAATGACCATAGATGTTACTGAAAGAAGAGAATGCAAAAATTTACAGGCTGCCTGCAAACAAAAGTTTGCCTGAGAAGAAAAGATTTGTTTCCAACTGGGTCATCTCCCACATCAAAGATGGAGAACAAGTGCTAAAAAAACCGGTTTTGTTCACAGAATTTGGACTTTCAGCAAAGAGAAACAGCATTAGCTACAGCCAACGAGATGAGTTCTACAAACACATATTTGATCTCATATATAACTCTGCACTGCAGAAAGGAGCTGGAGCTGGATCTTTTATCTGGCAACTATTTGTGGATGGCATGGATGAATTTTCAGATGAATTTGGGGTTGTTCCTAAGAAAAGGCCTTCACTTTATTGGCTGTTAAAGGTGCAATCTTGCAGGTTAGCAAAGGTTTCTCACGTCGAGAAATGGGAATGGTTTCCCTCACTTTTTCGATCGGAGAAAGATTCAGTTTGGCGAGCAGCAGAAGTATATTGCTGAAAAAGCGGTATTTTGGTTTGTGAATTTGTGAAGAAATGGATGTTTGGAAGTGGTTTTGAGGTCTTCATAGGATCAATGGGGATTTCATTGATGTTAGTTCAGTCAATGTAGATTAAATAATGAAGAGGTTGGAAAAAAACTTGTTTTCTTTATGATCAGAAATGTTTACATTGTGTGCCTCGAGTTATAATGGAGAAAATGATGAAGAAATATAGTGTTTTTTAGAATGGAGTTATGTGGGGTTGTTTGCTTTTATGACAATCTTATGTTATTTATATAAAGTGCCAAATTAGCTCTTAGAATGTATAAAATTATTAAATTAGCCCCTATACACCTTCAATATGGGCTAAAATAATTCCCAGAGAGGATTATTTTAGCCCATCTTTTATGAAAATTGGGACTAAAATGACCCCAACAAAATGTCAGGGGACCATTTTGACACATTTCTTGATTTATATGTATGCAACAGAATTTGTGTTTGATTTGAGGGAAAGTTGTCAAGCAAAGAAAATTTATTGTACTTCAAAGTTAAGTTTTCTCACAAATATGCTACCATGCAAGTGAAGCGAGGTTCACCATATTTTGTTTGGAATAAGTAACTTTGGTATCCTAATCTCTAAAAATAGGTCTTCTATTTAAGATTTAACAAAACAAACAAATATTTCCAGATTAGTTCAATGATTCCCTTCTCTATCGAGGAATAAAAAATAATGAGAGAATAAATCTTCAAAATTTTGACTCGCATAGGTGAGTTGACGCACATAATATTATCGATCATATAGATTCAAGAGAAGTTTTGGTCATAACAGCTAATGAGTTTGGAGCAAAATGTTTCATATACTAAGAGAAGTTTTGGCAGAAACTTGCCTAAGGGTAATAATTGACAAATGAGGAGATGAAAATCATTTTAAATCCAAGAAAATCTTCTATCCGGTATAGTTCCAACTCAGGCATTGCTGCACTAAATTAAACATAACAGCAGAATAATTTCAATAATGTAAGTCCCTGATTAAATCAATATCAATAAACCAAACGTGACCCTTTCAGCTGTAGAATCATGCCTATTATCATCTAATATACAAAATACATCACAGTATAACTAACAATGATAAATATGTTCGGATGAATCTATAAACAAAGTTATCTTCGAAACTTTCGGTGCATAAGGATGTTGAAATACAGAAACTTACCATTGCATAAAATGTATTCTTCTCCAAGGTTAATATGAACCAACTCAAAACTTCATGTGACCTCCAACTTAATGCTTGTTGTTCTAGCCAACCCCACTGTTGTTCTAGTCCACATCCTTGATATTGCTGCCCAGACAGCCATTCCACAGCTGTTTCTACTGCTTCTTGTCCGGACTGCTAGAAATAGTTGTCTTGTTGTTTCCAGCTTGCTAGCCGCCTTTTTGCCACCACCCCGGAGGTCCAAACCCAAACCGGCACTACCTATGCCCTATTATCTGATATTTCTCATTGTTATTTGCTTTTAGTTTGTTGTATTTTATTTATGGTTTATAAAATTAGTGGTGGTTGTATTGTGCTTCTCCTCACCTTATTTCCAAACAGATTTCAATATCATTTGGTATCAAAACTAGTCCAACCCTGATACCATCCTAGGATGACCTAAAACCACCAAAACACAGTCAAATCTTGACTTAAACCTAATCCCTAGCTGATTTCAAAATCAGCAACCTTTTTTTTTTTCCTGCACCCTAAATCAGCCCAATAAACCCTCATTCGCCTTCCAAACCTAAACCCTAGCTATGCCACCAAAGAGCAAGTGTCAGAAGTAGATCGGAAACTAACCATGGAAGAGATGTCATAAGAAATCCACTGACTTTAACAAATATTTGTGGAGGAAAACATGAAGAGATCGCCGTCGATTGTAATAGTGATATTCAAAGAGGAGGGAAGAAAATTTGCATTCTTTCATAAGGATGATTCCAGTGAAGATGATGATAGGCCACGACGCATTAGGATTCAGTATCAAAGGAGTTTGAGAGATGGGGTGATTCTTGGAGGACACGGAGACATGGGGTGAAGTATGCTTGCTGGATTTCGATGGCAAGATGAATTCAGATAGCTTCATTGTGTAATTGCAGATTGTTGATAAAATTTTTTAGTATAAGGACGCACCGGTTGATAAGCGGGTGAAGCCCCTGCTACCATAAAGCTGGAGATGTGTGCCTTATTATGGTTGGAGAATCTAAAGAGAGTAAGACAGAGAGAAGGTAGGAACAATATCACAACTTGGGAGAAGATAAAGAATAATATGTAGAGGAAATATCTACCTCCGCACTACCATTGGAACGTGTTCTTGAGACTACGTAATTTACATCAATGGAAGTTGTCAGTAGATGAGTTCACGACGAAATTTGGGCAGCTCATGCTAAAATGTGAGTTGAGAGAGCCAGAGAAGAGCACCATAGCCATGTATTTGGAAGGCCTTCAGTCAGACATAAGCCATATCGTTCAACTGCAGCTTTGTTGGTCGTTGAGTGATGTTTAGACATTGGCTCTGAAGGTGAAGAAATAGCAGAAGCAGATAAAGACCCCGCTATTATTAAAACAGTCACCCATATTAGGAGCCAGTAGTACACCTGAGAAAGGTGTGAAAAATGATTAGAAATGTGATAGAATTTATCAGAGTGAGAAGAAAAGCGATAAGAGCAGTACACTCAATACAGAGCCCGCAAGGTGGAAGCTAGTACTCCTGCCAAACACAACATGTCCACTTCTTCTACCTCCAACAAAGATAGTAGCTTTTCTCAAAGATATTGGTACAGAAGACAAAAGATAGTGAGGATGTGCAGGAGTACTAGCTTCCAACCGATGAGGGCGAGGTGTTTGTGGTTCAATGGGTCCTTCAGATTGAGCTATGAGTGAGCAGCAGTGACTTCACCAAAACATCTTTTATACCCGTTGCACTGTGAGGGAAAGGTGTGCAAACTTATCATTGATAGAGATAATTGTGAGAATATGATATCTACACAGATGGTGGACAAGTTGAGTCTCACTCAAAGATATTTCGAGGGGATTAATTGCATGATCAGGTGTGACTGACATCATTTTTTATTGGACATCAGTTGCATAATCAGGTGTGATGTGATATTGTACCCATGAACACCTGTCACATCCTGTTGAGGAGACCACGACAGTTTGATCACAACTCAACATGATGGGTTCAAAAACACTTACTTCATCATCAATGATAGAATGCACGTAGTTCTCCTATCTTATGCAGAGTCTGAGGTTAAAGATAGTCTTGCCATGAGAGAGGCGTCAGTGAGAACAGTTTTTGTGATGCTTGAGGGTGGTGTGATAGAAGAGATAACATCAGACACAGAACTACCATTATAGAGAGAGTTTCAAAATGTCATAACCGACAGCATACTGCCAGCCGCTAGGGTTGTCACCGTTAGGGGAGGCTCAACATATCTTCACTTCAAAAGAGGAATAAATCAATCTTGAACTACTATTATATGACTTTGCAGAGTATGCTTGACATGAAGTTCCAGTTCAGTTCAAGAATGTACACACAAGTGGTTGCATGGATAGAGATGGTTGCTCGCAATTCGAAAAACCGTCTCAAGTGTTTTGTGTGACAGTGCATCCGTCAGTAAGATCCAGGTGTTTTTAGAGATGCAATCAAATACCCTACAATCTCGTGAGGTAACAACATTTTTGCCACCTTTAATGTGGCTAGCCTGAAGCCATATTATGAGTCAGAAGCAAGGTCGAATCTCCACCAACCCAGGTAGACTGACGCGAGGGCTGAGCTAGACCCTGGACCGATTCTGTCCAGGTTTAGGGAGGCTTGGTCGACCCTCTCTAGGCCTAGGGTTGGTGCATAATTAGAGCGGGGGGCCACCCCTAATTGTAGTAGGTCTACTTAATTGTTTCTTTAATGTTTAGGGTTTATTTTTTGATTCATTTGAGTTTGAAGAGCCATGAGCTCTTCTTTTCTCTTTCTAGAGTTATATCCTAGGGTCTCAAGTGATGCTCCAGTTGTATCTTGATCACCAAGTAGTGTTTATCCTTCCTGTACCTTTCTCTCATCATTTCCCATGTTGCTCCCACATCCCATTCATTGTTTGCACGTTGTCATCGCCCAGAAAGCAAAAAACTTGATGTTTTTTGTGTCCAACCTACTTTGTTGCCAGCCAGAGACAGCAGTGATCTTGTTGCCGCCACCTAGAACAATCTTCCCACGATTATACCTGCTTGCCCACTTGCCGCCGCCACCCCAAACCGCCAGCTCCCACGTTCTTGTTGCTGCTGCTGCAAGGACAACCACTCCGCAGCTGTTTCTGCTGCTTGCTTGCTGTTCAGAGTCTTGGAACACTTGTCTTGCTATTTTCAGCTTGCTAGCCATCTCTTTTCCAACGTCCCATAGGTCAAAACCCTAACCAGCACCATCTACACCATATTCCCTATTATTTCCCATGTTATTTGCTTTCAGATTATTGTATTTCAATTTCTGGTTTCTATAAAATTACTAGTGGTCGTGTTATGTTTCTCCTCACCTTATTTCCATACCAATTTCGGTATATATATATATATATATATATATATATATATTGTGGCTCCTTACACGTTAATAAAGAAAAATATTATAGATTTGGGGAGGGACAGTGGATTCCCATCTAAAAATAAAATAAAATACATCATAATCCTAGGGGTTCCACTATCCACAGTACAACTCCACGCAAAATGAAAAATAAATGTAAAACCATAAAATGTCTACTAAGAGAAAAAGTATACCCAAGATTTAAGTGGGATTTAGACAACAAACTCTAGTGATTAGCCTATGTCAAAAGCAAGCTGGACACCACAGCTCAATCATTTCATTAACACAATTAAACTCGTTTATAAATTAAACCACATGATCGAGTGGGTTTGACAAACCTAACCAGGTTTAATAAACCAAGCCAGGATAGTTACGTCAACACTCACCAACTCTAACAATCTGACAAGTCTCAGCTGGTTTTCAACTATGTTTTGAAATTTCAAATGCTACTATGCTGGTGCAAAATTTAAGCTCTTTAAAACCCAAATTATCAATTATTGTAGGTTCATAATCAAATCACAATCACATAGATATCATTTTTTTTCTTTATTTCCTTCCTCACCCTAACAATAAATACAAAATAATTTACCAATTTAAGAATCAGAAACTAATGGGAACTAGTATTGTTCGGAATCAAAAGCAGCGGAATCACTTGTGGATCCATACTCCCTAACATCACTCCCAAACATACCTGATTGCATATTGCTTACTGAGGTTGTAGCCTGATCTTGAAGATTCCCCCCAAAACCATGGCCAAGACTGTCTCTGAAACGATACGGATCCGGAATGAAGTCAGGGATTGGAGATTCTCCGGTGAGCATTTTCACCACATTCGACATTGAAGGTCTATGAGCTGGTGATGAATGTGCGCATTGAATGGCCACCTTGATCACGCCCAAAGCTTCATTTTGATTATATTCTGTTTCCAGCCTCTTATCAACAAGAGAGAGCAAGTCCCCTTTCTCTTTTGCTAAATGTGCCTACCAAATGAAAATGATCACTTCGTAAACCAGAGGATAATGTTTCTGTGTTACATTATGGGGCATTTACATAAATAGCACAGAATTTTTATATAATTACATATCCAAAACCTAAACTTTGTTTTTTGTACTTATACAAACCAAATATTTTATATCACATCAGAAGTCCAGCTATTTTGCCTTTTAAAAAGATAAAATACACCTTTTAAAATATAGGCAAGGGGCCATATATATGTAATCAAAAAAGTCCATTGACAATTTAGATAGATACATTTTAGACTCTGAGTTTATAAAAGCGCTGAATTAATGCCATGCTTTTTTGATGAGGTCTAAAATAGTCCTCTCTAGAGACTATTTTAACCAATATTGAAAGGGCTTGGAGACTAAACTGTCACTTTTATAAACTCTGGGATTAAATGACCCTCTGCAAAGAGTCAGGGGACAATTTTAACCTCTCTCTCTCTATACACACACACACACACACACACACACACACACACACATAACCATGCATATAAATATGTATGTATATGTACATGTATATTTGTATATGTATAGATATATGCATGTGTGTGTGTGTGTATTTATATTTATATATTTATATATATATGATAACAAAAAAAAAAAAAAACCACTGAATGAATGCTAAAATCTAGGGATGGCAATTTAAATACTCCTGGTCTTGCAAGTTTACCACGTCCAGAAGATGATATTGGTCTTCATTAGTATAGCTGGAGACGCACTTCCCAGTTACAATCTCTAATGCAACAATGCCGAAGCTGTAGACATCCGCCTTCTCAGTCAAGTAGCCTCGTGTTGCATACTCAGGTGCCATATATCCACTACCAGAAATAGGCCACAACTATGAGATGTTGTTAAATGGAGTTTAAACACAAGAAAATTTTGAAAAATAATAATACAATGCTCACGTGATGATGGATAGTACTTAAAAATGAAGACATTTTAAATAAAAAAAGAAAAAAGAGAAACATAATATTTAAGAGATTAATAAATGAGGGTTATAAGAATCGTTTCTTTTACTATAGTATATTAAAAAGAGTTAGCCCACACAATGATAATAATAAGAATAAATATTACTAGTTTATAAGAAACTGAATGGAAAGGAGAAAAATCTCAATACACTGAGGAATGTATTAAGCTGTTGTATGTTGGAAATGCTAATAATAGAAATGAGGTGATAATCATCATCATAATCATATGGCTTCAAAAATTCATGCCCGGCTCTTCGGAGAGTGTTTGTATTTGGTTTTGGGTCAAATCTTTAAATAGCACATTAAATATTTTAGATAAAATATTATCCAGAGTTCTCACCACATTTTGCAAGGCGTAAATGATCAAATTCCAAATTTCTCATAAGAGCAAACCCCTACAGCTAATTAACTTTTCTATTGGATAGTGAAAACTTTGATTAAGGCTACTAATTAGGTGCTAAGTATCTAGCATATAGTAGTAAGAGTGATCTATATATTGCTAATAGTAATAAAACATTTTATTTTTGTCGTCAAATTAGTAAAAAAAAGTTGAGAAGTCTTAAAAGAAAATTAACGGTGAAAAATCAGCAAGTCCTGAGATATCCCAATTGAAGTGTGAAAGTATTTAAGAGATTTGGGAGTTTTTTGGCTTTCTAAACTCTTTAATATTATTTTAAAAACTAAAAAGATGCATGAGGAGAGATACCCGAGGAGTGAAGGAAGAGTATTTTGATACCATTTTTAAGAAAGGAGATGCACAAGAGTGTGCAAATTATATAAGAATTGGGTTGATGTGCCATGCTTTAAAATTATGGGAGAGGGTAATTGAACATAAGTTAAGATGCGATACAAAAATTTTTCATAATTAAATTTGGATTTATGGTGGGCAGGTCTCCCATGGAAGCTATATATTTATTGAGAGGTTTGATGGAGAAGTAAAGAGAGTAAGAAGGATCTACATATGATTTTTATTGATTTTAAAAAAGCTTACGATAAGGTTTCAAAAGGAGTCTTTTTGGAAAGTTCTAGAGAAGAAAAGTGTTGATATGACTTATATTCAAGTCATTAAAGATATGTATACTAGAATTGTTACTTGTGTTCAAACAGAAGGAGAATTGACCAAGTATTTTACTGTTTCAGTTGGCTTACATCAGGGACCGACTTTAAGCCAGTATCTTTTTCCTTTAGTTATGGATGCTCTTACTGGGCATTTACAAGAGGATGTACCTTCGTGTATGTTTTTCATTGATGATACTCTTATTGTTAATAAGACTAGAGAAAATGTTCAGGAAAAACTTAAATTATGGAGGTTTACGTTGGAGCCTAAAGGCCTTCATTTGAGTAGATATAAAGCTGAATACATACAATGTAAGTTTAGTAACAGTAGCTCTAATGACAGAGTTGTAACTTTAGGTGATCAAATCATTAAAAGGTGTTAACATTTTAACATTGGAGCCTAAAGGCCTAGTGTGTGATAGAAAAGAACAACTTAAACTTAAAAGGAAAATTTTATATGATGGTGGTGAGACCAACAATGTTCTATGGCGCAAAATGTTGGCCTTTAAAAGATAAGCGTAAAACAAAGTTAAGTGTTGCTGAGATGAGAATGCTTAGGTGGATGAGTGGCTTGACACTTAGAGACAAAATGTGAAATGAATATATTTATGATAGGGGTGGTGTAGCTCCAGTAGCAACATATAATCTGATTAGGAGAGTAGATCTTTTAGATTCGACTTATGTTAAGAAAGGCAGAGGTAGACCTAAAAAGACTTGGGCATAAGTATAAAAAACAATCTTAATCTATTAAATTAAATAAAAACATGACACTAAATAGGATGCAATGGAGAAGAAGGATTCATGTAGCCGACCACACTTAGTGGGATAAAGGCTTCTTGTTGTTGTGTTGTTGTTAGAATACCTTAAGGTTGTATGCAAACAGAAAAGAAAAAATAACATTTAGCAAATCTTATTGTTAAAAATAAAACTGTAGGCCTAAAATGGTAAGTTGATTGTGTTAGACTATCGGAGAAGAACTTATGCCATTAAATAATATAAATTTTGTTGACTCCAACACTTGTGTTGTTGAGAATAGAACTTATAAAGGACTTACAATCCTGCTATATAGAAAGATGGACTGCTGAAGAGCAAACATAGCTTGATGGGATTGAGTTTCGCTTAAAAAAAAGATTTTTGCATTTTCAATTAGTTGCAAGTATTTTAAAAAAAAATGCACATTTCTAAGAGCAAGAATAGTTCAATCTCATCTCATGCAACGTTCTCAAACTTTAAATTGAAGCGTTTAGCTCCTTTTTTGGAGCACATGTATAGATTTAAATTGATGATGTGCATATTTTTAGTTCACTTGCATGATGTATTGCACAATTCTTAGGGAGCTTTCGTGATGCATTTGCATGTTTTTGGTGGCATTTTAATAGAGTTCAAAAGTTATCTCATGTCATGTGTGCAATACATTTCAATATATATATATATATATATATATATTCATGGCACCCTGCCCACAGCAAAATCACAAGAGGTTCCAAAACTAGAAAATACTGAAAAGTACATTAGAGACATAAAGAAAAGCCTAAAAATGCTGAAATACATAGTATCAGGTGGCTAAAGAGCAACCCAATTTGGTTTTGTCTCTGCCTCTAGTTCTAGGAAAAGAGCAAGCTAATAAGTTGGTAAGATGATTGTCATTGTCAGTAGTAACCAATGTATCATCCAATATGTTCCCGAGCTGGAGTCGGCCTCCATTCTTTTTCTTCCTCCTAGAATAGACCTGTCATTTCTCTTCCGAAGATTGCCTCAACTGATCTTGGTCTAAGGTGTGCTGGAGATGTGCAGATTGTTGAACATTAGAAGCAACTACATGTTGTACCTGTTGATCTGTTATTGGATCAAACGAGCACTCTCGTGTGTCTTGGCATGTAAGTGAATCTTCTTCAATAACAGTGGGTGGTATAAGCATAATTGGATCTGTAACTGTAATATATTGTTCTTCTTCAGAAATTGCGGTGTTGGGAAGAGGATCAGGTTGCTTTTTCTCAACAAAGATAATAGGTGGTTGTTTTTTAGCGATATTCAGTCTTAGATGAGGATGCAAACGATAGGAAATAGTAGAGTTGTGGTCAAACATATTACAATGAGAGCAATAAGGAGGATGTGGTTCCATTTCAACCTTTTGTCAGTTCCCGTTGTGCATAGTGTCAATCCATATCACATCTGAAGCTGGTTGAATGATATCTCTCTCAACTAACACACAAGCCACAAAGAGTCTAGTGACAGCAAGCGTAGAGCTATCCACCTTGAGAGATTTACCGTAAGCAGTTGCTAAAGAGTAGAGGCTTTTTCATGTTGAACAGATGTAATTTTAATCCCGAAAACTTTATCCATACAGGAATGATAGGGGACTCCGCTTTTGGATCAAAACCGACAGTCCACTTAAAAATTTTCATAAAACGATTGTCAATCTTGATTGTTTTTTAAGAGAAAATGCCAGTGTAATCGACATCATGAGATAGCTGAATAAGTATATGTCTACCGTCAAGTAGTCCAATGTTCCAACTGCCCAATAGTTTCATAGCATCAAACTCCTTCTTAATGATCTCCAGTTTTTGGTGACCATAAACAAATTTTCCCACTAGAGAAAAACGCCAAGAAGGCGCAAGAGTACCAGTTTTAACCTCTTTGAGAATAAGTGCAGACATCCCATTTTTTTTCCAAGTTTTTTAATAAAAGTGTGATCGCCTCCACCTTCAAGAGCCTCGTGGAAAGATTCTGGAACATTGCAGGACTTA